GCAGGGGGGGGGATGTGTTGTGCATGAGGGTGCAGGGCAGGCGGGTTTGCCCCCGGCTCGGCTCGGGGCGGGGGGGGGGCGCTGCCGGGGACAGGCTGGGGCTGGAACCCTTTGCACGAAAACCCTCGGTATGTGCCCCGAGCAAAACACTCCTTTGCTACTTACGCAATCTCTGCCTGAGATTTCGTAACTCCCAACTGTTGATACAGTGTGGGGAACTGGATTTCTGCAAGGAAGCAAAATAGTCGCTTGGGGTTTGGGGAAGGTGCTGTGCAGACTTGCCAGGCCTGTGCTCTGTGCAAACAGTGGTTTTCGAGGGAATTTTTGGCTTTGCACGTAGCTCTTGGCCGGAGCTCTACAGCTGCGGATTTAAACCGTGTGTAGCACGATGAGCACTAGCCTGTGCACCCAGTGCAAGTGCCACTGTGAAGGTATGCATGTCAAATCTCTTGAGAAATCACACTGGTACCATTTAAAGTCTTGCAGCTTTCTCGTGTGTGGGCGCAGGTCAAGCCCCGGGCGGGTGGGGGCTGCGGGGGCCGTGCTGCGGCCCCTCTGCAATGACGGCTGCTCCTTTGCTCGCAGGTTTTAGGTCTGCACAAGAACCAAGATCAAGAACCATGGCATCCATCCCATCGAGCGGCTCGCTCATGGCGACGCACAACTACTACAGAAGTAAGGGCGCACGCTCAGGGCTGGGGTGGGCTCGGGGCCGTGGGTGAGCGGGCAGGGTGCTCTGCCAGGCTTGGGGGGATGTGGCTCCAGCAGAGTTGAAGTTGAGCTCAGGTGTGTGCTTTCAGCTGAAGCCCCACGAGAGCTGGCAGGCTCCTTGCTGAGAAAGGGGGGCCGCCAGCAGCCGTCCCTCCTGCTGCTCGGACCCTCCTTTGGGCCACCGCAGCCCCTGCCCAGTTGTACCAGCTGGAGATGGGTCTTGCAGTCTCCTTCACGTGTTATTAAGGTTGTAGGTGAGGGGAAGTGACGGCTTCAAACGCGTCTTGCACTGTTGCTGTGGAAATGAGCTGCAAAACCAGTCTGGGCAATGGCAACTACTGGTACATCTCCAGGGGAGAGACTTTCTGGTTTAATGGATTGCCTAAACCAGAGGGAATTAAAGTATTCCCCAGGCTTGTAGCAGTTGGGCTAAAACTGCATGGATTATATGCAGGAATCTGCATCTTCTTGGCCTCAAGTCATCTGCAAAGGTCTCCCAAGTGTTGCATGCAGATGCAAAGCCATTAAATAATGTCCTTGGGGTTGCAACTGTTTTCCTACAGAGGTGTTCAGGTGCTTTTCTGCTACCTGCTCTTGGCCAGCTTGTAATCTCGCCAGTATTTCCTTCCTAGTGGTTTTTATTGACTTGGTACTAAAGCTGGGCAAGTACCGGAGCGAGATAGTGATGAGACTGAGCCGTGTCGCCCCAGGGACGGCCACATCAAGGCTGTGCTCTGCTTTTCACGGCACAACTGGGGGTCAGTGGTTGCTCTGATGGCCGTGATTTCTCCACAGGGCGCCTGAGCTCCACATCCAGCAACAGCTCCTGCGGCAGCTCGGAGTACTCTGGGGAGGTCATCCCCCACCCCCCGGGTAAGTGCCACCCGTCCCGGCTTGGGGCTGCGGGGGAACTCTGCTCCTGGCCCCTCCACTGCAAATCTTCCTGGAGGTGGCCCATCTCCTGTGGGATGAGACTGGGGTGGTAGCGGGGCTGCCTGGGTGGTACTGTCCTGGACTTTCCCTGGCACGCACGGTCCCCCAGGTCTGCCCAAGTCTGACCCCGGCCACTGGTGGGCCAGCTTCTTCTTCGGGAAGACGACTCACCCAGCCATGACAACCGTGTCAGAGTCCCCGGAGAGGTGAGTGCTTTCCTTGGACGAGATGATGCGGGGGAGTGTCAATGCAGCACTCAGGGCAGTGGGGGACATCCCTGCTGCGTCCCCCGAGGTGCATCCTGACCCAGTGGGTGATGTCTTCATGCCCAGGGCACCAGCTCCTTTGCTGCAGAAATAAATGCAGAGCGACAACGAAACGCCTTGGTGTCGGCCTGACCCTTTCTCTGCTCTGTCTTGCAGCTTGGGAGCGCTGCGGGTGACGACAGGACCGATGGCATGTGGCTTGGTGCCGGCCCCAGGAGCGGGACGGAGGCGCCACGCCAGCGAGCCCAGCTCCGGGCCCGTGGCATGAGCGGGGTCGGTGGCAGCTCCCCACGCTGGCGGGCACAGCCCCTTCCCCCCCGTAGAGTAGGCAGGCTGCTCCAAGGCAAAGGTGCTGCTTTGTAATAAAAAAAGTGCAGCAACCCCCCGACGATTCCCACACCAGCCTTTTTACTCTTAATGCAACTATGCCCTTTCTGCGCAGACTCAGTAACGTGTTTTATTTACCTTGTAGTTGTACAATGGCAACTAATAAAGTCGAGCAGCCTTTTAAAACCCTGCGGGTTGTTCTTCATCCAGGGTGGGAGGGCAGAGCGCTGCTGCGGATGTCGGTGGGGCCAGACCGGGACACGGTGCAGCATCCAACCGCAGCACTTCCAGCAGGGTCCGGTAACGCGGGATGGCACGGTCGTGCCGGTGACTCACCAGTACGTGTGTTTTGCATGTGAGCAAGTTCAGGCTCGGATGCAGCGATGCTGCAAATGCCTCCCCCACCCTGTCTTCCTTACTTGGCTGCACAGCCTGTCCCTGCTGGCACTGAACTCGCTCTGCTCCCTGAGCGCGTTGCTGCCCTGCCCTGCTCCAGTGCCTCGTGGGGTAGGAGCGAGTGGCTGTGCCTGGGCCTGAGCCAGGTCTGCTAAGGGCTGGGGGAAGGATTTGGGTGCAGACTGAGCCCTCCGTACCTAGGGGAGAGAGAAGGCTTGCTCAGGGCTTGCATTTCGTGGGTCTGATATCAGGCTGGAGCTTGTAGTGCGGATGGCAGCTCAGGGGGTGCGCCAGGCTGGGCAGCCCTGGAGCCTAGCTGGCCCATGTGCTGTACTGCCCTCAGTGGTGGTTTGGCTGATTTTTTGCCTTGAATTAGTCAGCTTGGCTGTTTGGCCCGTCTGTGATCAGCAGTGCTGCTCGATAAAGCACTGAGAAAACAAGAGCCTGCAGGTGCCTGCATACAAGGAGGGCAAGGTTCCTGTTCCTGCTCGAGGCAAACAAAACCCTGGCAGGGGAGAATTTAAAGATGCCAAATCTTCCTGCTCTGGTCTGCTTTCAGCCCCAGCACGAGATACGGGATAGTCCCTGCGTGCACCAGGCGCTGCAGCCCTGATGGCCGCCGGGGGCTGCGGGACCCCTGAGTGGTGACTTTGTACTGCTGGCATCCTGCGCAGGCAGGGGCGAAGGGCAAAGCTGTGTGCGGGCAGCTGCCTGCTGCCCGGCCCAGGGAGCAGCCGGGGGGGAGGTGGCTGCTCTGCTTTTTGTCCGTGCTGCGGAGGCATCCAGGGTCACATCCAGCTTTACTCCTTGTTTCTGGTAGGGAAAAATGTTGTGTAAGCTTTGCCCTGAGCTCTGCGTCTCCAGGCAGCGGTCCTTGTCCTCAGGACAGAGGGTCGGTGTGTCCCCTGTCCTTAGGAGGGGCCGAGGCAGCACTGGGACCTCTGCTCCCCCTGTGTAAGCGTGTGCATCCAAAGGGAATGGCTGCGGGGGGTTCCCCAGGGCCAGCAGCCTTGGGCGCACTGTTTGGACCGTGCGAAGCGCCCTGCGGGCGCCCTCCCTGTCCACGGCAGCACGTCATCACCCCGCGACTGATCTGATGTGACTTCCAGTCACGCAGCAAACTGCTGGTGCTGAGCGCTGCTGGGGGGGGGCTGCACCTGCATGCACGTGGCTGTGTGTCACAGGAGGCACGTGGCAGCCTTTAAACTTCACAAAACACAGAAAAATCAAGCAAAAAAAAAAATCTTAGTAAGACAAGGTGAGGCGTGCTGTCTGGCTGGTGAGCTGGGAAGGGTGGCTGTGGCACTGGCTTGTATCAGCAAGCACTGCTCTGGGGGCTTCCCATGTCCCAGCAAACTCCTTTGGCTGCTGCTCGCCCCTGGGATGCCTCAGGGGAGCAGCGGGGTCTCATCTGCTGCTGGTTCCCAGCAGAAGGCCCAGATTTTGGAGAGACAAGTATTTTTTCCAAGCCTGCAGCCTCAGGGGCTGCAGATTAAAGTGTGGACACACAAGGGTAAAGTCAATATTGCTGTATTTGCCTGTTGGTCTCATGATCACGGAAGGTCAAACCCAGCAACTGTCCCCAGGCACCCGGAGGAGGCTGTGGCAGAGCAAAGGCACAAATCCTGGCGTCCCTGGTTTTCAGCTGGGCACTTTCCCTGGCCTGACCCAGCTCTGGGTGAGCTGCTCCGTCTGCCTGCTGCGATGCCACCAGCACATCGATGCTCCTCCATCCCGTTCTTGGACGCTGCAGGGAGGTTAAGCTCGTTCCCACATTGCTGCAAGGCAGGTTGGATTTACAGCAGGGTCTGCAGCATCAGTGAGCAGCTGCCCTGATGCCAGTGGCTCCCTGTCCAGTGGAGCAAAACTGCCTGGAAGAACCCTGATGAATTAAAGGGGATTTTTCTGAATGTTTGTAAAGTCTTACAGACTCAGGCTGCTGCTCTGCTGCAGGCCAAAAAAAGGGAAACAAAACAGGGAGAGCCTGCCCCCCCCCCCAGACTGTGCTCCCAGGCAGCTTCATGGCATGGCCAGGAGCAAAGACCTCGGCAGCACCTCAGTTGCTTTGGGTGCCTGCTGCTTGTGGGACCTCTCTTGCCCCGTTGTGGCACACAGCTGTGTTTCAGAAAAGCATCTGACAGCCAAGCAGGTTTATTTTTGTGCTTTTTCCGTCCCCGCTGCTGTTGCCAGCTGATTTCCCGTGTCTTGAGTCATTGGGCTGCCCGCTGCCATGGGGCAGCAAGGGATTCATTGGGCAAGAGACGTGAGACAAGCAAAGGGGCTCTTTATATTCCATACCCCTCCCTAAGCATCCCCCCCTTTCCACTGGGCTTGCTATCGGAGGGGCAAGCACCCACCTCCCGTGGCACCAACCCGCATGGGGGATGGACGTCCCCTCCTCTGCTCCCCCGCCGCTGCCTCGTGCTGCTGGATGAGGTGCCAGGCTTTGACTGTTGATTAACTCACATACTTGGAGAAAAAAAATAGACAGTGCTTTCCGCTCGCTCTCGGCCCTTGCAGCGGCCCTTGTGCCACCCCATCACCCTTGGAGGAGCTCTCGAAGCAGCCCCGGTGTGAGAAATACTTCCTTTCATTGCCTGCCTCTTGCTGCTTGAGGAATTTGGGTTTGTTTTTTTTTTTCCCCTCCAGTAGCTTTGCTTCCCCCTCACCCTTTAAAGGCCAATGTGGGACCTTAAAAATAGAAACAAACTGTGCAGCTCAAATACATCAGCATTAGCCTGATGCTGTTTTCAAATGCCACTCGGTCAAGTTGAATCCGCAAATGGGGCACATGCCAGGCTGAAACCAGAGCAGGCGAATGCCTTTAACAACAGTATTTGCAATGCCCACCCCGGAGGGGTTCGGAAAGGACTGGGGCCCCGGCAGCTCTGCCTCTGTGAGATGGATTTCAGGAAGACCCCAGTCCCCATAGCGGCCCCGATTTTGAGGGGGGGGGAGCTGCAAGTGCGCAGCCCAGGCTGAGATCCTGGGAGACGGTGAGAAAATCTGGGCTCCCCCACACACACACACACACACGTTTGTCTGCTTTTCAAAAGCGAGTAGTGACTCAGAGAAATGCCAAAACCCAGCAGACTGTGCTGGAGGGCAAACCCAAGCAGCACCTCGACTTTTAATGCAGCTGCGGAGGAGGAAGGAAACGATGCT